TAGCAACAACTAAAACATCAGTGTGTTATCAACATTATTCTCATACTAAATCCAAAACACAGCACTATACCAGCTACTAAGAAGAAAATTAACTCTATCCCAGCTGAAACCAGGACAATGCTCTACACCTGGAGCCTCTGGCAGAAAGCACACAGAGAGACCTGAGGTCGACCTCTAGGGTTCTGGAGCCGGGGTTATCAAGGATCCGAGTCCCACTACACCCCAACTGAAAAAGAGATACTAGCAGCATATGAGGGGGTTCAAGCTGCTTCAGAAGTTGCTGGTACAGGAGCATAGCTCCTCTTGGCACGGCAATTGCCCGTGCTGCACTGGATCCCCTCTACCCATCATGGAACAGACGATATGTGGAGTAAGTGGGTAGCACTGATTATGCAACGGGCCCAAATGGGGAACCCCAACCACCCCGGAATCCTGGATGAGATCATGGACTGGCCAGAAGGCAGAGATTTTGGAGCATCGCGTGAGGAGGTGAGCCATGCCGAGGAGGCCCCACTGTATAATAAATTACCAGATAATGGGCAGCAATATGCTCTGTCATTTTTTGGGAAGCTGCTGGAAAAGTGGAAAGCTTCTGTATGCAGTCCCACATGACAAGTCACAGAAACTGTCGAAGGAAAAGGCAAATTGAGTCAATTTTCAGAACTGAAAGACATCCAGCTGGCCCTAGAGATTGCTGAACAAGAAAAGTGGCCAGTACTCTATACCGAGTCATGGTTGGTAGCAAATGCCCTGTGGGGGTGGCTGCAGCAATGGAAACAGACCAACTGGCAGCACAGAGGCAAACCCATCTGGGCTGCTTGAGGCTCATGAGATGGGCTCGTGACCGAGGGGTGGACTTGCCCACCAATGCCATCGCACAGGTTATCCATGAATGCCAATCTGGTAAAGCCTCTCCTACATGGAGGATGGTGGCTGAGAGATCAATATGGGGAGGCCTGGCAGATCGATTATAACACGCTGCCATGAACATGCCTAGGCAAGCGCCACGTGCTTACAATGGCAGAGGTGACTACCGGATGGTTGGAAATATACCCTGTGACCCATACCACTACCCGAAACACCATCCTGGGCCTTGAAAAGCAAGTCCTGTGGCGACACGGCACCCAAGAAAGAATTTTATCAGACAAGGGGTCTCATTTCTGAAATAACCTCATACACTCTTGGGCCACGGAACACAGCATTGATTGGGTGTATCACATCCCCTATCATGCACTCCAGAGTGAGCGAGTGGCTTTGTGGTGCTTAGCTGCCAGCTGGGGTCAACCTGGTTCTTTGTCTCATGAGAATCAGAACACTGGTTCTCATTTTGGACTCTTTGAGCAGATTCAACTCAATAAGTTTGCAGAAAACTGTCTCCTCTTTTTTCTCTTTTTTTCTTTTTTTCTTTTTTTCTTTTTTTTTTTTTTTTCCCCTGCAATAATTTTCTGGTGGGCTAATGAGTTTAACTCACTCACTGAAGGGGTCTGATGAGCAGGGGAAAGGTAAGGGAAAATCACAGGGGAAAGGTAGTAGAAAGAAGGGAAGGGAGCAGGACTTCCCACGTCCCCCCCTTTTGGGGACAGCTACCCCCATCTTATGAAAATAACAACCTCTTTTGTGGGGCAAAAGCCTGGCTTTTACATCAGAGCAGAATTAGTCAGGAGAAGAGACAACCACCCTCAGTGTGTCTCTACAAGTGATCCCAGCCAGCCACCAGCTTATATGCTGTCTGTTGGACAGGAGGAGTATGTTGGTTTGCAAGTTGCCCTTTTGATCCCATGTGAAAAGATAATGATCATCTAGTGTAATGGTGGGAGAGCCCAGCCCCTTTTTTGACAGAGGAAAAACTAAAAGGCTTGTAAGAGTTTGCATATCTACCTTTTGACCATGCTGTTTTGCTTTATCAACAGGGAAGCTTCACACCACCATGGTGATAATGTACACTTAATTCAACAATCAAATCAACTACTGAAAAACTTGCAACTCTACTTATGGAGCAGGTTCTGATACCTTCAGTCAGGGCATGGAGAGACAATTACAGGCAACTGCATTACTGTCTGTCAACCGAGCCACAGTAACCAAGACATTGACTCTTGGCCTCCTATCAACATGAAACAAAACCATGGAACTGTTTTAAACTGGAAGTCTCCCCTCCCCGCGGGCTAAGAGCACTCTCAGGGACTGAATAGAAATGATAATTCATTAAGCTGTGGTCACTCAATTGTTTGCAATTGTCCACATATGGAGATCTGATAATATGTTGTTCTAAATGCCCTTCAAAGCTAATAGCTCTATTTTTGGAGCATGATATTGCTTGGATATCATATTCCGGACATGTGTGCTTAATTACTTCAACAAGGAGCCTCTATCTGAGGCTACCCTGTCAGAACTTGTCAGGCAATCTGCCAGCAGCAACAACTGGAAGCTGGAGGTACTAGAGCTGTCATAAAGCAAAACAGAAACATCCCTTTAGAAATAAAACTCTTGCAGTAAGTATGCATATTACACAGCCTATTCCCTAAATAAAAAAGGAAAAGCTGCTGATATGCCCTGCTAAGTCAAGGTTACAAGAAACATTGCCTTTCCCAGAGCACAGGCATTAACACAAACCGTCTAAAAGCTGTAGAAAAGGGCTGGAGGGATAGTTATGTGGGCTGAGAACCCAGAAGTAATGGAAATGCTTTTTACTCCCTCACAGATTAAAAGTGTACCTTTTCTGCCTTATAAGCCACCCTTGAGCATCTTTGGTTCCTGTTGGATGGAGTAAAGATCTCTAGTGAGGCTCAATTACATATAGCCCTGATGTGAATCAGCATCTCCAAGCCTGCTTGTGGCACTGTACATTTGCAGCCAGTGATCTGGGGCTGATCAAGAGGACAACGAGAAGAAGGAATTTTCAGCAGGGGCCAGAAGCAGAGCCCTATCAGGAAATTGTGGGAAGAGGAGGAATTACCACACTAAATAGACTAATCTGAAGCAATACAGCTAGGTCCTACCCACATAGGTTCTGCACCATTGCCAAGTCCCAAGACTTGCAACTATGGGAGAAACAATTTCGTTAGAAGGCATGGACTTCTGCTCTGTGGGGCTTGAGAAAAGAAGCAAGGAGTCTACACCATGGGGTGGCTTCTTTTGCTCTACAAGACAAGCTCAACAGCAATTCTTCCCCACCAAAGTGGGGTGGGTGGGCAGAGGAAGGAGAAAGAGGGGCACTACCATAAAGGCAAGCAGACACCCAGCACAGGAAAATTGATGGTGGGGAACTAGGCAGATCCTGCAATAGCTGCTGTGGCGAAGCTATGGGATTAGTATAGACTGGGAAGGAGCAGAGAGCACACCTTTTCTAGCAGCTGGCTCCATGGCTGAGCTCTCACCCAGCATCACTGAAGAGCACCCTTTCTTTTCCATTAGTGATAAACTCCCCGCAGAGTTGTGGATCTAAAGAATGGAAAGTAATAGAAACAAACAAGCAAGAAGGAAAAAAAAAAAACAAAAACCAAAACCAGAACAGAAAAATATCCTTAATTCTAGTTTGATCCAACAGCCATCGGAATTCAGCTAAGGTTGACCCACTCATTGACGTAAACAGGTATCAGATCACCTCAATGGATTTGTTAAAATTCTCATCTTCACAGTCCTAGGATATCTTAGTGGGGCATTTTCATCTGTAATGTTGAATAAAGTCAGTCCAATTACTGGAGAAATTATCATACTTCATTTTAAAGGTCAAAAATTATAATGGTAAAAATTGTAATGGTAAATTTGTTAGTGTCTTCCCTGTACTTAGAGAACAGTTATGCCGCAAAGTTGATTGGTTTAAAAGATAACAGTCATTATTTCAAGTCTTCAAGGATCGCATTCTGCCATCAGATTCACATAAAAAAATTTCCATTGTCTCCAGTGGAAATAATAGGTTGTGTGCAGCTGATTTTAGCTCAATGTATTTTCCAGCACTTTTTAACAGTTCAGATTTTTCATTTCCCATAGTAAATATAAAATTATAATTATACTCTATATTTTCTGTAGATTTCAAATGACAACTTAAGACATTTGATGGCACTGTGTTTTTTCCTGTATGATTTAGGATAAGATATTGCAGATTTTTCTGCACTGTTGCATTCCCTGTGGTGCTGAAAGAGCGGCTGTGATTCTATGTTAGTAGAATTTTACATTGAATATAGCCACAGTAACAAAATACTAATGATCAGTGCTCACTCTAAAACAGTTTAAATTATTCGTATGAATATTTTTGCCATTACACCTTCACATATTGTTCAAAACAATACTTCATAGTGTAAAGACCAGTGACATTTCGATCACAGAAAATCATCAGCAACAAGAATTGTTTAAAATAGTCTTTAGTTAACATTAGGATTTTTTTTTTTTCCAGCTGGCATAAATGAGTTTCAGGAAACAAACAAACAAACAAACAAAGACAGACAAAAAAAATTGTTGTAAATGATTTCACAAACTTACATCATTGCATCTCCTAGATCCTGGTCTTGCTGAACAAGAACAAGCCAACAGGTAAGAAGCAGCAGCCAGCGATAAGTTTGCCTCCTCCAGTCTAGGAGGTCATGTTGTTAAAATGAGAAGCTAAACCCCCCCCACGCACTTTAAAATACAACTGATAATCTAAACCTTCCTGGGGATTTACAGTCAATAATGTGTGCACATTAAAACTGTATTTCCAGTCTATCTTGTGGTGCCTGAGAACCATTTTTGCCTTTGTAAAAGCGGTAATTATAATACATAAGTAGCTTTCATTTTTGTATTAATGCTATAAATACTATGTTAGCAATATTAAACTATATTTCTACTGACTTATTTGTAGAAAGAAAAATATATTATATATTTTTATATATTTATAAAGTGAATTAACACTGGAGAGGGGGTGTAGAGGAATAGTCTACAGTCACACTTTATGTGTATTATTGGGCACAAATTCAATGCTTGAAACAAAAAGGAAAAGAAAACACCGTTCAAGTTAAATCCCCCTTTCAAGCCGTGTCAGAGGAAGAGTCGTAGGAAGCAGACACTATCAAGTTGCCAGTATTGGAGTGGCTTGCCATGGACTAGGCAGCTTGCTGGCTCAAGTTATTACAGATCAGCACCAGCTGATTGGTCTGTGCCTCTGACAGGGTACTACAGCTCTGGTAGACACTGAAGTTGGTCTTCCTGCCGGGGATGTTGCCTTTCTCACACATTGTCTTTACCATCTTGGCAAGCTTGTTTTTCCCCAGGGCTTGACAATTGTACCGGTGAAGTGCAGCCAAGTTGACAACTGGTTTGATGGATAGATAAAAAGGAGCATCTTCATATTGCATCGCTGGGGGCTGCCGCTGTGCATATTCCTTGTAGTCTTGCACTGGGCAGGTCTGTGGGGAGTGCTGGGTGGCGTACACCCTGGAATCAGTCCTTCCTCTTTTGCTTTTGGCATTCATGTCACTGTTGCCTGTCCCCATCCACTCCAAGTATTCCAACACAGTCTCTGTCACCCGGAGCCGGATGTCTCCCCATTTGAGGGTGGACCCATGAAAACCCATGCGGTGTCCAAACGCCTTAGTGTTATTTAGCCAGACAAGGTTCAGCAAACCCTCAGGATTGTATCGGCTCAACAAACCTCTTTTGCGTAGGATAAGCTCATCAGCAAAGGTAAGCTTCATGGATTTGTGTGGCTTGTTTCCTTTTCCTTTACACCTTCGCTCTATCTGCTTTTCCTTCAGGGCTTCTTGGGACCTCTTGAACTCTTTATCCCTGGTAATACTGTATCCATACCTGTGCTCTTTGAGATACTGCTCCAGCCCACACTGATAGTTGGCCAAGCTGTTTGGCTCATATTCGGAACCATCTTTTTGTCTAGCATCCACAAAGAAGGAAGCAAGGTAGGCATCAAGCTCTTTGCAGGGGATGACATAGATTTCTCGGGTCTCAGAGGGGTACTTGGAAATGAGGAACTCTCAGAAGTTCCGGAGAGCTGTCTGTGTACTGCAAATGGTCTTCTCGTTCTGCTCCCTTCTGAGCTCCGCTGCGCTCTCATCCTGGTCTGAAAGAAGGAAAAAAACCAAAGCAAACAAAATCAGAACAAAAGAAGCAGTGAGTTTGTGCAATACATCTTCCCCAAAATAATTTTTCTTTTAAAAGGAAATTTCACAAAGAGCACTGGAAAACATTATTACATACCTGTCTTATGATTTAAAAGTCAACTTCAGTTTCACAAATGATGTTACTAGAGTATGGCAAAGACAATCAAAATGAGCTCGTGTCACTAGGGCACACTTAGGGCACAGAGATTTGTGGAAAACTCTGAGATTAGAGGCAATCTGCTTTTTAGAACAAATGCAAGACAGAAATTTTTTTCTGTGGATTCCACTGCTGTGTACAGGGCCAAATCCAAGTAATAAACCCATTCTGTATTGCTGTATTGCTTCATCTGTGAAACCAGAGGTTGTACTGGTTCCTTTTTTTTTTTTTTTAACAAAAAATAGCTAAAGCATCATATTTGTTATAAAAAAAATTATCTTTAATTGGGTGCATTTTTAAGATTTTAATTTTGCAGAAAAATCAAAATCTGGAAACATTATATTACTCTACAAGGCTATTTTCATAGGTCCTTATGATCAGTGACATATCAAACCGCAGTTGTTTATCAATGATCAAATGTTACCACTAAGATGATTCTTGTGTACCATTAATTTTCTGGCTGATCATAACATGAGAAAAGGTCTTTACGGTTAAGTGATGAGAAGAGAAAGCTTTGGAGGAACCTAAAAGCAGCCTTCTAATATCCATGTGGAAGTTATCAAGAAGATGGAGTCAGGCTCTTCACAGTAGTGCATGGTGGGAGGATGAGAGACAATGGGCATAAATTGAAACAAGAGGGGTTAAGCCTGGGTACAAGAAAAAGCTTTTTCACCATGAGGACAGTCAAGCTTTGGCAAAGGGGTCCAGAGAGGCTGTGGCAACTCCATCCTTGGAGGTTTTCAGGACCTGACTGGACTAAGTCCTGAGCAACGTAGTCGGGTCTCATAGCTGTCTTTGCTTTGAGCAGGAGGTTGGACTAGAAATCTCCCATGGTCTTTTCTGACCTGGGGTTCTATGAGTCTAAGGCCCCCAAAAGCAACAGTTCCAACTAGGGGAAGATTCCCCTAACAATGAGTGCTAAAACTACCATCTGTCATTCCCCTTTTGACAGTAGTGGAGTAGGAGCTTGCCAGGGCCAGGGATGGAAGCAAGAGAGAATAAAAGTGGGAGTGCAGGACACCGCTTCCCAGCAGCCACCTAGCTTCTCAGCCCATCCCCACTGGGCTGTGAGTTCATACGGTTGTATGTTCCTCCTGTTCTACAGAAAGGAGGTGTGTTCGCTCTCCCTACCCAGTAAAGGAGCTCGGAATTACTCAGTTTACTATAGGCACATCTAACACATCAATATAAGATCAGAACATCTCACCAACAGAAAAAATATTCAGCCTTGTAACTTCACTTAACATAAAGCACAAGCAGATCTGCTGGTAGGGAAGAAAGCAGGGAAGGGAAGGTGGCTCTGTCTCCTCCCCTAGCCCATTTGCACCATCTCATCTGGTACACACACTTTAGGTGATAGGCGAGGGGAATAATCACACACCTGGGCAACTTCCCCTCCCACCCATCTATATAGCTGAAGAAATACAGGCAGACCAGAAAGCAGGTTTGAGCTCAGATCCCCTGGGACCAGTTCCCACATCTTCAGCACAGAGCTGTCCGTGGAGAATATTCAGTGGAACCCACTGGGGAGGTTCTCATCCCCCTTGGAAAGTGAAAAGAACTGGAGGTCTGCAGCCCAGACCTTTAGAGGCTTCTGACGACATGAAAAAACGCTGCCAGAGCAACACTGAGGTTTGCACCAACTGTACACAAGGGGAAAAGAAAGGTAGCCAGTCTATTTCAAAAGATAACCTTAATACTGATGACAATATCAAAGAACTCCTAGCAGCCTTCAATGTAGTCTTACATTTTGGACAATGCATAGGATAAATCCTATTATTATGGCTAAGTACAGGCTGGAAATAAAAAGCCAATGATATTTGAAGTTCAGAAACAAACATTTACTCCGGTATGTTGTTCGGTGCACCTACCACCATTTATTATAGCACTAGAATGTAATCAGCACTTTGACTGACAATCCACATTTTAAATACTGTTTCTGTATAAACAGCACATATAGTGGCTTGGTTTTAAACATGTCAATCACAACTTTATAGAGGGTGGCCTGGGTCATGGTTTAACCCCAGTAGGCAGCTAAGCACCACACAGCCACTCGCTCGCTCCCCCTACAGTGGGATGGGGAAGACAATCAGAAGGGTAAAAGTGCAAAGACTTGTGGGTTGAGATAAAGACAGTTTAATAGGTAAAGCAAAAGCTGCGCGTGCAAGCAAAGCAAAATAAGGAGTTCATTCACTACTTCCCATCGGCAGGCAGATGTTTAGCCATTCCCAGGAAAGCAGGGCTTCATCACGCGTAACGGTTACTTGGGAAGACAAACACCATAACTCCAAACATTCCCCCGTCCTCCTTCTTCCCCACAGCTTTTATTGCTGAGCATGACATCATATGGTATGGAGTATCCCTTTGGTCAGCTGGGGTCAGCTGTCCTGGCTGTGTCCTCTCCCAACTTCTTGCCGCCCCCCCCCGCCTACTCGCTGGCAGGGCAGTGTGAGAAACGGGGAAGGCCTTGACACTGTGTAAGCACTATTCAGCAATAACTAAAACACTGGTGCGTTATCAACACTGTTTTGGTCACAAATCCAAACCATAGCACCATACAAGCTACTATGAAGAAAATTAACTCCATCCCAGCCAAAACCAGTACATTCTCCACCCCTTATTCCATACCATTTACGTCATGCTCAGGTCCCACACTATCCAATACATCCTCATTAACCACCACCCCCCTTCCCGTCCTTTGATGTAATACACAGATATCATTCCCTTAGTCTATGGGCCACCCCTGTAAAATGCCCATAAAATGCCCATTGAGATCATTTAGTCCATGACTTGGGTTATATCTGTTATGGTGGTCACTCAGGACAGGAGAGGTGGTGTGTTGCGTGGACCCATGGAGTTATTGGGCACCAAAGTCAGCTCAGGTCGGGTCACTGCTGCACTTGCATTGCTTCTTGTGAGGCTCGTCCTCCATTGGTCCGGGTGGTTCCTGCTATAGTGCTTCCTATAACATGCAACTCAAATCATGGGTTACAAGAGTTTAAATGTATATCCATTACAATCTCCACCCCTGGTCCCTTTGGACCAGGCCATAGGGTTTAACATTGCAACGAACTCCTCCCCTTTCCCCTGCTCCGGCGTGGGCTTATCCACGGACCACAGTCCCTTAGGGGTTTACCTTCTCTGGTGTGGACTTATTCACGGGCCACAGTCTCTTTAGGGATATACCTGCTGCAGCCTGGACTTAGCCACAGTCGCTTTGAGGTGTACCTGCTCCAGCATGGCCCTATCCATGGGCCACAATCCCTTCAGGGGCATACCTGCTCCAGCGTGGCCTTATCCATGGGCCACAGTCCCTCCTTAGGGGTGCACCTGCTGTGTCGTGGATTTATCCACGCCAACAGACACTTTGAGGTGCTCCAGCATGACCTCATGCGCAGCCACTGATGCTTCAAGGTGTACCTGCTGCAGCGTGGACATATCCACGGCCACAGACACTTCGGGGTGCACCTGCTCCCACGTGGACTTATCCACAGGTCACAGTCCCTTCGACTCGAGTTCACACTGGAGTTCCAGCCTGTCCAGTACAGCAGCACAGGAACAGCAGCAATGCCCTGGCCTGACACAGCAGTGTGGCTTGCCTGTCTGGAATGGCTGGATGCCATTGCTGTACAAAAAGTTATCTATATATTTGCTAACAGCCAGCATAAAGGCTAGGCCAGCCCCAGGAAATCAGTGGCCTTTATCAATGCAAAATTCAGAAGATAGTTATCTGGCTCTTTGTTCTGTCATAAAGAGAACCATTTGAAAATCATTCTTGCTTCTTCCATGGAAAAGGGAGGGTGAGATAGCAAGACTGAGATACAAGTGTATCTCAGCCTACGCAAAACTACTCTGAGATTAAGAGACCATTTAATCAGAGAGAGCTCAGCACTTGTAAGATAATTCTGATATTTGTACTCCCTCACTGTCTGATAAGGGTTGACTTTGGGCATCTCCTACACACACAACACAGAAAGCCTTAAATCAAAAATATTTAATGCAATTAATTCATATCCAACAATAATCATTTATTTAGAAACTTCAGAAACTTGCTTTCCCCACCAACCCCAACAAAAAGGAAAACAATCAGATATTTTGAGGTGAAGGACATATTTGGAACAAACAAACCCATCCTGAAACTTTAGAAATTCTTAAGACCAAATTAAGTGCAACTTTCTTTGCCATAGAATCACGTAATTATATATGTTGGAAGGAATCTCTAGAGATCTCTAGTCAACCCCCCTGCTCAAAGCAGGGTCAACTAGATCAAGTTGCTTAGGGCCTTGTCCAGTCAAAGTTTTGATATCTCCAAGGGTGGAGATCCCAGAGACTCTTGGCAACCTTGTTTCAGTATTTGACTATCCTCACAAGGAAAAATTTTCTGCTTATATTTAATTGGAATTTCCCATGTTGCAACTTGTGTTCATTGCCTCTCTTCCTATGCCAGTGCATCTCCAAGAAGTCTGAATCCATCTTCTCTACACCCTCCTATTAGGTATTCAAAGAAAGCAATTAAATCTCCCCTTCATCTTCTCTCCTTAAGGTTGGACAAACCCAGCTCCCTCAGCTTTTCCTCATATGTCATGTGCTCCAGCCCCAAATCATATTGGCAGCCTCCGCTGGACTTGCTCCACCATGTCCACATCTGTCTTGTACTCGTGCAGCAAATAGCTGAGCAGGTAAACCCAGTTAAGACCTCTGGAACTCTGGTGATGAGGCATGGACAGAGGGGTCGGAGGATGAGTGCAGCAACAGCATTTTCATCTGTCTGTCAGTGCTTAACAAAGCAAAGGGGCCCCCGGG